CGAGGTCAGGAGATTGAGACCATTCTGGCCAACATGGTAAAACCCCGTCTCTACTAAAAATACAAAAAAATTAGCCGGGCATGGTGGCACATGCCTGTAGTCCCAGCTACTCGGGAGGCTGAGGCAGGAGAATCGCTTGAACCCAGAAGGCAGGGTTGTAGTGAGCTGAGATCACGCCATTGCACTCCAGCCTGGGCGACACAGAGTGAGACTCCATCTCAAAACGAAAGAAGTAGCCATTGGGTTTCTATAGCCAGAGGCTTTGGCAGAAGAAGGAAGATTTGGTGGGGCGTGCTGGGTCATGCCAGTAATCCCAGCACTTGGGAGGCCGAGGCAGGTGGATCACAAGGTCAGGAGTTCAAGACCAGCCTGGCCAACATGGTGAAACCCCGTCTCTACTGAAAATACAAAAATTAAGGCCAGGCATGGTGGCTCACGCCTGTAATCCTAACACTTCAGGAGGCTGAGGCGGACAGATCACCTGTCAGGGGTTCAAGGCTAGCCTGGGCAACATGGTGAAGCCTTGTCTCTACTGAAAATACAAAAATTAGCCAGGCATGGTGGTGGGCATCTGTAATCCCTGCTACTCAGGAGGCTGAGGCAGGAGAATCCCTTGAACTTGGGAGGCGAAGGCTGCCGTGAGCCGAGATCTCGCCATTGCAATCCAGCCTGGGCGACAGAGCGTGACTCTTTCTCAAAAACAAAGCCAACAATAAAGAAGGAAGATCTGGGGTGGACAGTGGCAGACAGAGGACGGGTACCACGGCATGTGGGCATGGTCAAGGCAGGGGAGGGGCCGGCAGAACACCTGCCGGAAAGGGTTTGGAATCAGCACTTCTCGGACCCCAGGAACCTGGAATCACTTGGCAGCGTGGCATGATGGCGCTTCCTGTTGGTGAGACTTTCCGAGCAGGGAGTGTGGCTGGTGTGGAATGGCTCTAGGCTGATTACTGAGCACTTACTGCGTGCCAGGCCCCGCAGGGACCTAGGCAGTCTCAGGCCCTCCACAGCCTTGGTGGTGAGGGAGGTAAACAGGGACTTGAACAAACTCCGGGGGAAAATACTCCCTCCAGACACACTGTGGGCCCAGCGCGGTGGCTCACACCTGTAATCGCAGTGCTTTGTGGGAGGACGAGGCGGGTGGATCACCTGAGGTCAGGAGTTCGAGACCAGCCTGGCCAACATGGTGAAACCCCATCTCTACTAAAAATATAAAAATCGGGCCTGGCGCGGCGGCTCATGCCTGTAATCCCAGCATTTTGGGAGGCCGAGGTGGGCGGATCACAAGGTCAAGAGATCGAGACCATCCTAGCCAACATGGTGAAACCCCGGCTCTACTAAAAATACAAAACATTAGCCGGGCATGGTGGCGCGTGCCTCTAGTCCCAGCTACAAGGGAGGCTGAGGCAGGAGCATTGCCTGAACCCAGAAAACGGAAGTTGTAGTGAGCCGGGATCACGCCGTTGCACTCCAGCCTGGTGACAGAGCGAGACTCTGTCTCAAAATAAATAAATAAATAAATAAAACAAACAAAAAAAAATACATTAAAAAGAGATCATGAAGGAGAAAAGTGGAAGAGGTTTGTACAGAGCCTTGTGGGAAGAGAGAGGAGCCTGGATTTATTTTGAAGGCAATAGGGAGCCAGTGAGTACTACACACACACACACGCACACACGCACGCACATGCGCGCACACAAACGCGCACGCGTGCACACGCACAGACACACAAACACACACACAAATGCGAACACACACGCACACACACACGCACACGTGTATTTTTAGCCCAGGCTCTCTCTCTTTACCTCCCTTCCCAGAGCTGCCCAACCTCACCATTCCGGTCTTATCTCCAAGGCCATCATCCCACAAGAGTCAGGAGTCGTCTCCCAGACACCCCAGATAAGCAGGTTCCCTCCTGTGAATCTCTGTCACTGCCCGCTAAACTCTGCCTTTGTCTATACAAATAGTTCCATAATTACCAAGCTGTGAGCCGGCCTAGCCTGTCACTCACATCCCACAACCTCAGAGAGGGCAGGGATGTGCCTCCTTCATCCGCCTGGATAATCCTGGTGCCTGGAAGGGTGCCTGGCAAGTCGGAGGTGCCCCGAGAATATCTGTGGGCTGGGAAACGATGGCTTTACGTTTGATAAGGGCCTCTTCCTCCCTCCTCCCTCCTCCCTCCCTCCTCCCTCCTTCCCTCCCTCCTCCCTCCCTCCTCCCTCCTTCCCTCCCTCCTCCCTCCTTCCCTCCCTCCTCCCTCCCTCCTCCCTCCTTCCCTCCCTCCTCCCTCCTTCCCTCCCTCCTCCCTCCTTCCCTCCCTCCTCCCTCCTTCCCTCCCTCCTCCCTCCCTCCTCCCTCCTTCCCTCCCTCCTCCCTTCTTCCCTCCCTCCTCCCTCCTTCCCTCCCTCCTCCCTCCTTCCCTCCCTCCTCCCTCCCTCCTCCCTCCTTCCTCCCTCCTCCCTGCCTTCTCCCTCCTCCCTCCCTCCTCCCTCCTCCCTCCCTCCTCCCTCCCTCCTCCCTCCCTCCTCCCTCCCTCCTCCCTCCTTCCCTCCCTCCTCCCTCCTTCCCTCCCTCCTCCCTTCTTCCTCCCTCTTCCCTCCCTCCCTCCTTCCTCCTCCCTCCCTCCTCCCTCCTCCCAGGCTGGAGTGCAATGGCGCGATCTCGGCTCACCGCAACCTCCGCCTCCTGGGTTCAGGCAATTCTCCTGCCTCAGCCTCCCGAGCTGGGATTACAGGCACGCACCACCACGCCTAGCTATTTTTGTATTTTTAGTAGAGAGGAGGTTTCACCATGTTGACCAGGATGGTCTCGATCTCTTGACCTCGTGATCCGCCCGCCTCGGCCTTCCAAAGTGCTGGGATTACAGGCGTGAGCCACCGCGCCCGGCCCCCTTTCTTTCTTTTCAAGGTCTCCGTCTGTCACCAGGCCGGAGTGCAGTGATGTGATCATGGCTGATTGCAGCCTTGACCTCCTGAGGCTCAGGCATCTCCCACCTCCGCCTCCCAAGAAGTAGCTGGGACCACAGGTGCGCACCACCATGCCCGGCTAATTATTTTTGTGTTTTTGACAGAGATGGGGTCTCACTGTGTTGTCCACAGTGGTCTTGAACTCCTGGGCTCTGGCGATCCTCCCTCCTCGGCTTCCCAAAGCACTGGGGCTACAGGAGTGACCCATCGCCCTTGGCCCATTGAAAAGGGCTCTTGTGTCCTTCTGTAAGGGCACAAAAGGGGTTTTGTAGGGTTTTCGTAACCCATACCCTCAGGTACCCTCAGGTACTCGTTGACCTAAGGATACAGGTCCAAGCATGACCAAGGGGCATGGATTTTTCTCTGTGGTGTTCCCGGCTGCAGCCCAGTGTCAGCAGCAGTGTGTGGGCCACAGTATGCACTTAGTACATGTTTGTTGATTGACTTCACGAACCTCTCCTGAGGTTTCTCAAGAGAGAAGGAGAACTTCCCATGCATGAAGGTGGGCATGAAGGATGCTGGCTGGATGTCGGCGGTCTCTGGTCAAGGATGGAGCCTCTGCCCTGGGAGAGACTTGAGTCTGATGGTAGAGCTGTGGTTCCGATTCTAAGTGGGCCATGGCCCCTGCCTTCAAGAAACTCATTCTGAAGTGGATAGCCCAGTCCAATGGTGGTAGCAGTAGCAACACAGTTCCTGTCTGTGGCAGTTTGCTCTGTGTAGGCAAAGGCTCAGGCTGTTCATGCACCATCTCATTTAAGTATAGTACCTAGCATTGTGGTTCCCGCCTGTCATCCCAGCACTTTAAGTCCAGGAGTTCAAGACCAGCCTGAACAACATAGTGACATGCCCCCCGCCCCAACCATTTCTGCAAAAAAACAAAAAACCAAAAAATTAAAAATTTAGCTGGGCATGGGGGTGCACACCTGTAATCCCAGATACTCAAGAAGCTAAGGGAGAAGCATCGTTTGAGCCCAGCAGTTCGAGGCTGCAGTGAGCCATGATCGCCCCAGTGGACTCCAGTTTGGGTGACAGAGCAAGACCCTGTCTCAGATAACCATAAATAAAAATAAACATAGGCCCAGCGCTGTGGCTCACGCCTGTAATCCCAGCACTTTGGGAGGTCCAGGTGGGCGGATCACCTGAGGTCAGGAGTTTGAGACCAGCCTGACCAACACGGTGAAACCCCGTCTCTATAAAAATAAGTAAATAAATAAATGTAGTACTGGGTGTGATGGCTCACGCCTATAACCCCAAGGCTTTGGGAGGCCGAGGCAGGAGGGTTGCTTGAAAGTATCCAGGAGTTCAAGACTAGCTTGGGCAACATAGCAAGACCCTGTCTCTACAAAATACATACAAATTAGCGGGTTGCAGGCCCTAAGTCCCAAGCCACTCTGGAAGTGGAGGCTGGGCATGACCTGAGGCCAGGAGTTCCACCCCAGCCGGGGCAACGTAGTGAGACCCTCTCTGTGTAAAAAATGAAACACGAAGGACAGCGCCCCACCCCTGATCCTTTGCAGAGACTCCTGAGGCCCTCGGAGGGCCAGGGCCGGGCCTTAGCTGGGAACTGGTTTTGCCTTGAGAGGCCCTTCCTGGCAGGGTTCCCTGCGAGCGCTTGGCAAGGCTGCTGGCAAGGCTGCGTCCTCCTGACCCTTCAATCTCAGCCCAATGTCACTTGCTCAGAAAAGCCATTTCCGACTCTGGGCTGGCCCCCGCCCCTCGCAAGCCGCCCCCGCACGGTGGGCAACACGGGGAGTGGACGATCTGTTCACTGGTGTTTCTCCCCCCACGCGCCCATCCGAGAGGGGCTGGGGACCCTGTTTTGTGGCACTGGGCGCCCAACCCACACCCCCTCATCACCCTGGCCTCAGTTTCCCCACAGGTCCACAGGGCCGGAAGGAAGGGGGCGGGTGCAGGGGGGCGCGGGGAGGGGAGGGGCGGCGCGCGCAGCGGGGTGGAGGGGCGCGGGGCGGGCCGCGGGCGCGCGGGGGCGGCGGCGCCACCTTAAGGCGGCTCAGCCCGCGGCTCCCGGCCGAGCCCCGCCGGAGGGAGGCGGACCCGCGCGGGGCCCGCCGCCCGCGCCGCCGCCGCCGAAACCCGGCCGCTGCGCGCCCCGACCTTCTGCGCCGGCCGCCGCGGCTGCCCTCGCCGCGCCCCCACGCCCCGGCCGCCGCCCCCGCCCCGCGCGCCCCGCGCGCTCCGGCCCGGGGAGGGGCTCCAACGACCCCGCGCTTGGCGGGGGGCGCCAGGGACTCCCGGGTCGCCTGCCCCGCGCCGCCTCGCCCTCCTCCCTCTTTCTTCGGGCAGCCTCCCCCCCCAACTTCAGCCTCCCCCACTCTTGCCGCCTCCATATCCTCAAGCTCCGGTGGCGCTGGGGGGCTTCTCGGATCGGCAGGATGTACCCCCAGGGAAGGCACCCGGTGAGTGGGGGGCTGCGGGGAGGGGGGCCCCCCCGGGGTCCGGGAACTCAGACCCTGACGTCCCCCCCCAACCCTCTCCCCCAGACCCCGCTCCAATCCGGCCAGCCATTCAAGTTCTCGATCTTGGAGATCTGCGACCGCATCAAAGAGGAATTCCAGTTTCTCCAGGCTCAGTACCACAGGTGAGGGGGCGCCCCAGGGCCCGCGGGAGTTCACTGGGGCGCCGGGCCTCCGGGGCGGGGGCGCGGGAAGGGCCTCCAGGTGGAAGCGCAGGTGCAGAGGGCTTTGGGGACAGGCAGAGCTGGGGCACTGGGAGCCCGGGAAGGGGCGGGAGGGACCGGGACGGGAGGTGGGGGGATGGGGAGATGAGCCCCTCACTTTGGAAGCCGGCCCACGCGCGGCGGTGGGAGCCCCTTGGCCTCTCTCTCCTTCCCAGCCTCAAGCTAGAATGTGAGAAGCTGGCCAGCGAGAAGACGGAAATGCAGAGACATTATGTGATGGTGAGGGCACTCAGGGTGCCAGGCGCCGGGAGACGCGGGGGAGACGCGGGCAGGGCTTTGAGTGTCGGTGGACTCCGGGGTAGGTCCCGGCCCCACTCCCAGCCTCGTCTTCCCAGTCTGTCCATTGGGCTGATTGGGATTTCACGCTCGCTTTCTCGGAGGGTCCTCCCAGCTCTGAGAACCGTGAGACAGGGAGGACCCCTAGCCTGATTGGGCATCTCTGTGGGGCCAGGGCCTCTGGTCACTTCTCCCTGCCCCACCTCTCTGGGGAGAGTAGAGGGGGCCCTTCCAGGCAGAGAGCCCCTGGTTCCTCCTCTGGGACCCCATGGAGCTGGGGGGCTCTGCTGTCCTGCTGTGATCCCTGCAGGCTGGGGGGCTCTTGGAAGACCCTGGCATCACCTGTCTCCAGGAGGGCGCCCATTTCCACCGCAGACGTTCTCACTTGGTTTTTTCTTTGCAGTATTATGAGATGTCTTATGGACTCAACATTGAAATGCATAAGCAGGTAACTGGGTTGGGGTTAGGCGTGTTCAGGAGGGAGGGTGGGGAGTCTGGAAGCCACGGGAGGGACCCAGTGTGGGCAGCTGGGACCAGAGCACACCTAGGGAACAGGGGTCTCATCCCGAAATCCCTGCAGAGGTCACAGAGGGCCCATCTGGGACCAGGAGGACAGATTTCAGCCTCCTGAAAGGAAAACGAGTCTCAACTTCTGAAGACAATGTCTCGAAGTTGGAGCCGTCTAGCAGAGGCAGGCAGCGGGCAAGGGCCATCAGGCATCCCCATCAAGGAGGGCATGTGGCAGAGGCAGGGCAGCCAGGCCAGGGAGGCTGTGGAGGTGACTTCTGTTCCAGGAGGGGCTGGATGGCCACTCTTAGCGGTCCCTTTCAGCCCAGAGAGTCTGAAGTTTTGAGATGGACCACAGGTTCTGTTGCTGTTTTGAAGCTTCTGAGATTGATCTCTGGCCGCGTGTGGTGGCCCATGCCTGTAATCCAAGCAATTTGGAGGCCAAGGCGGGCAGATCACCTGAGGTCAGGAGTTCAAGACCAGCCTGACCAACATGGTGAAACCCCGTCTTTAAAAAAATAAGAGATTGATCTCCATGGAATTGGCTGGAAGGTTCCAAGATTGTTCTCCAGGCTGTGAATTTGATGCTGTGATTCAGACTGTGACCCCACTATTCCAAGAGAGACCTCGAAACTTTGTGGCTGTCTTCACGGCTTTGAGATCGACCCCAGTGCCATGAGGTTCCGAGCCTCTTCCTAAGCTTCTTCGTGTGATCCATGGTTCTGAGATTGACCTCAAGATTCAGAGATAGAACTCAAGGTTCTGAGATTGACTTCAGATTTCTGAGATTGACCTCATGATTCCGAGATTGACCTCATGGTTCCGACCTCAAGGTCCTGAGATAGACCTCAAGATTCTGACATTGACCTGAAGGTTCTGAGATTGACTTCCGATTTCTGAGACTAATCTCAGGGTTCTGAGAGTGACCTCAAGGTCCTTAGACCTCAAGGTTCTGAGATTGCCTGCAAGGTTCTGAGAGTGATCTGAAGGTCCTGAGACAGACCTCCAGGTTCTGAGATAGACCTCAGGGTTCTGAGATTGACCTCAGGGTTCTGAGACAGACCTCAAGATTCTGAGATTGACCTCAGGGTTCTGAAGTTGACTTCACATTTCTGAAATTGCCCTTGGGGTTCTGAGATAGATCTCAAGGGTCTGAGATTGTCCTATCTATGTGCAGATGTGTGTTAAAAGGTCCTAAGTCTGTTCCTGAACTTAGGATCTCCAGGTTCCAAGATAGACCCAAAGATTCTAAAATTGACTTCAGTGGTCCATTCTTCACCCTGAGATCCTGAGACCAGTGGTTTCTGTTTTTTTTTTTTTTTTTTTTGAGACGGAGTTTTGCTCTTGTTACCCAGGCTGGAGTGCAATGGCGTGATCTCGGCTCACCGCAACCTCCGCCTCCTGGGTTCAGGCAATTCTCCTGCCTCAGCCTCCTGAGTAGCTGGGACTAAAGGCATGTGCCACCATGTCCAGCTAATGTTTTGTATTTTTAGTAGAGACGGGGTTTCACCATGTTGACCAGGTTGGTCTCGATCTCTCGACCTTGTGATCCACCCGCCTTGGCCTCCCAAAGTGCTGGGATTACAGGCTTGAGCCACCGCGCCCGGCCTGAGACCAGTGGTTTCTAAAGGGATGGGAGGGGTCCCAAGCTTCTGAGCTTTGTGGGCTCTTAGATTCTAACAGGATATTAGATTCAATGAGTAGAGCTTTGTATTGGGACTTGCTGGTGGCTGGGAAGGAGAAGGGGGTGGGCTGGGAGTGTGGGGACCCTGGGGGTGCCCACCCTGGCATGCTTTCCTGAGTCTGGGGGGCTCTGGTCGGTTCTGATGTGCGCAGGGAGGGGGGCCCGTCTGCTGAAGCATGGCATGGTCCCATGGGTACACGAAACAGACGTTCTTATGGGGTGCCAGACACCCTGGGATCCCGGTTCCACTCTCCGGGTGGGAAGAGGAGACACAGACCCTGCCAGGCACACAGCACACCTGTAACTCAGGCGGAGGCAAAGCGCTAGGGCCTTTGTATACCCGCCCCCTTCCCCACCCACACGCCCTCTCCCCCTACTTAGTTTCTCTGGGGCACCTGGGCCCAGACGCTCTCCAGATGAAACCCTTCCCTTGAGTGTGGAGCGCTGAGATCTCCACCTGCAGGCGTTCCCAGCGGGTAGATCAGCCCGGGGAAGCGGATGAGGCTTCCGGAGAGGGGCCTTGTCTGGGAGAGGCATGGGGCCAGCCAGGGCTGGAATCTGGGACTCCAGGCGGAGCCCCCTTCCCTTTGTTTCTGCTGACCCCAGAGCCTCCGAGTGTCTGTGTCTGAGGTGGGTGTCTGTGCGGCTGCCTCCTGCAAATCCCTGGCGGGTGTGCGTCTGGCGGGTGTGTGTCTGTGACTCCTAGGACCTCACTCAGCTTCAGCCCGGGTCTTCCCGGCTCCAGGCCACCCCGGGCCTCGCTCAGCTGAACAAACAGCCTGGCGGGGCTCTGAATCCGGCCTGGCCCATGCCTAGCTGGCCCGAGTTCCCTCCGTGCACCTGCGGACGCCGCCTCCCTAACCCTTGAGCCTGGAGCCGGGTTGCAAGTGTCCACCCCGCTCCAAGCTTCCTCTCTTTCCCTCCTGCCAGGCGGAGATTGTAAAGCGCCTGAGTGGTATCTGCGCTCAGATTATCCCCTTCCTGACCCAGGAGGTGAGCGGGCCTGGGGTTGTGGGGAGAAGGGGAAGGAGGCTGGAAGAAGATGGGAGGGGGTCGGTCTGGGAGAGGACGCCCCGGGCGCTGATGGTGCGGTAATCTGCAGCTCAGACAGAGACCGTTTCTCACTGCCGGTCCCCAGCCCTGAGGCCAGACACCTCGCTGGGGCACTGGCTGCAGGGCTGGAGGGAGGTGTTGGCCGAGGGTGAGGACTGAGGACTTTTTTCCTCCTTGATTGGAAGCTAGGCTGAGACCTGACCCCCTGAAGCCCTGCAGGTTGGCTGCGCGGGGCTGAATCCTGGCTGTGTGGCCTCCAGGCGGGACACCTGCCTGTCTGGTTTTTGTTGTTATGTTGAGACAAAGCCTCAGTCTGTCACCCAGGCTGGAGTGCAGTGGGGCGGTCTTGGCTCACTGCAACCTCCACCTCTTGAGTTCCAGCAATTCTCCTGCCTCAGCCTCCCGAGTAGCTGGGACCACAGGTGTGTGCCACCGTGCCCGGCTAATTTTTGTATTTTTAGTAGAGATGGGGTTTCACCATGTTGGCCAGAATGGTCTTGAACTCCCGACCTCAAGTGATCCACCCTCCTCGGCCTCCCAAAGTGCTGGGATTACAGGTGTGAGCCACCGCACCTGGCTTGTTTTTTTTTTTTGTTTGTTTGTTTGAGATCAAGTCTTGCTCTGTAACCCAGCCTGGAGTGCAGTGGTGAGATCCTGGCTCACTGCAACATCCACCTCCTGAGTTCCCACAGTTCTCCTGCCTCAGCCTCCCCAGTAGCTGGGATTACAGGCATGCACCACCATGCCCGGTTAACTTTGTATTTTTGTTTTTTAAAGATGGGATTTCACCGTGATGGCCAGGCTGGTCTTGAACTCCTGACTTCAGGAGATCGACCCACCGCGGCCTCCCAGAGTGCTAGGATTACAGGTGTGAGCCACCGCGTCCGGCCAACTTTGTATTTTTAGTAGAGATGGGGTTTCACCATACTGGCCATACTGGTTTCGAACTCCTGACCTCAGGTGATCCACCAGCCTCGGCCTCCCAAAGTGCTGGAATTACAGGCGTGAGCCACCGTGCCTGGCTTCGATTAAATTAAAAAAAAAAATTTGCCAAGCATGGTGGTGTGTGCCTATAGCTCCAGCCAATGAGGAGGCTGAGGCAGGAGAATTGCTTGAATTGGGCACTGGGGAAGAGGTTGCACTGAGCGGAGATTCGAACCACTGTACTCCAGCCTGGGTGACAGAGCAAGACTCCATCTAAAAAAAAAAAAAAAAAAAAATTTAGGTAAAGAACTGTTGAAAGGGATGTGTAAAGGCACACATTTTCAGAAATTACCAAACTGCAGCTCTAGGGCCAATTCTGGCCCTCCAGTTGTTTTTGTAAATAAAGCTTTATTGGCACACAGCCACGCCCACTCGTGCATACCATTTCCAGCAGCTTTCCCACTGCAGTAACAGAGTTTGGTAGTTGCAACAGAGACCTCTGATCTGCAGAAGGAAAATATTTTCACTCTGGCCCTTTCTAGAAAGTCTTCCACCCCATTCTACACATACCCACACCCAGGTGCACCACCATGGTAGCTCTGTATCAGCATCCTGATACCTCCTTGGTGGGGGCAGCCCAGATGCCTGTCCTCAGGAGTGCATATACGCCAGCTGCCTCACAGTGCCTACAGTGGGGTATGCTACTGTTCCGCTGTCCCACACCGGAGTCACCAGCCCCGTGTGGTTGTTTTCACTTAGGTTAACTAGTAATATTTAAATCTACTAACTTATTTTTTGCCTTAAATTTTTTTTTTTTTTTTTTTTTTTTTTTTTGAGACGGAGTTTTGCTCTTTTTGCCCAGGCTGGAGTGCAATGGCGCGATCTCGGCTCACTGCAACCTCCACCTCCTGGGTTCAGGCAATTCTCCTGCCTCAGCCTCCTGAGTAGCTGGGATTACAGGCACACACCACCATGCCCAGTTAATTTTTAGTATTTTTTTTTTTTTTTTTTTTTTTTTTTGAGACGGGGTTTTGCTCTTGTTACCCAGGCTGGAGTGCAATGGCACGATCTCGGCTCACCAAAACCTCCGCCTCCTGGGTTCAGGCAATTCTCCTGCCTCAGCCTCCTGAGTAGCTGGGATTACAGGCACGCGCCACCATGTCCAGCTAATTTTTTGTATTTTTAGTAGAGACGGGGTTTCACCATGTTGACCAGGATGGTCTCGATCTCTTGACCTCGTGATCCACCCGCCTCGGCCTCCCAAAGTGCTGGGATTACAGGCTTGAGCCACCGCGCCCGGCCAATTTTTAGTATTTTTAGTAGAGACGGGGTTTCACCATGTTGACCAGGATGGTCTCGATCTCTTGACCTCGTGATCCACCTGCCTCGGCCTCCCAAAGTGTTGGGATTACAGGCTTGAGCCACCGCGCCCGGCCAAATTTTTTTTTTTTTTTTTTTTTTTTTTTTAGACGGAGTTTCGCTCTTGTTACCCATGCTGGAGTGCAATGGCGCAGTCTCGGCTCACTGCAACCTCCGCCTCCTGGGTTCAGGTAATTCTCCTGCCTCAGCCTCCTGAGTAGCTGGGATTACAGGCACGAGCCATCATGCCCAGCTAATTTTTAGTATTTTTAGTAGAGACGGGGTTTCACCATATTGACCAGGATGGTCTCGATCTCTTGACTTCGTGATCCACCCACCTCAGCTTCCCAAAGTGCTGAGATTACAGGCTTGAGCCACTGCGCCCGGGTTTTTTTTTTGTTTTGTTTTTTTTTTTACAAAAATTAGCAAGGCAGCGTGGCAGGTGCCTGTAATCACAGCTACTTGGGAGGCTGAGACAGGAGAATTACTTCAACCATGGTTGTGGAGGTTAGAGTGAGCTGAAATCGTGCTGCTGCACTCCAGCCTGGGGACAGAGTGAGACTCCAGCTTAAGGGAAAAAAAAACTTTATATATGTATATGTATATATATATGTGTGTGTGTATATATATATATATATATATATATATATATATTTATGGAGAGAGAGAGAGAGAGAGGGAGAGAGAGAGACAGACAGACACCACACACACACGGGGATCTTACCATGTTGCCCATTCTGGTCTCAAACTCCTGGACTCATGCAGTCCTCCCACTTTGGGGTCCTAAAGTACTGGGATTAAAGGCATGAGCCACCTCACGTGGCCTTAAATCTTTTAAATTAGGCCGGGAACGGTGGCTCAAGCCTGTCATCCCAGCACTTTGGGAGGCTGAGGCGGGTGGATCACGAGGTCAAGAGAGCGAGACCATCCTGGTCAACGAGGTGAAATCCCGTCTCTACTAAAAATACTAAAAAAAAATTAGCTGGGCATGGTGGCGCGTGCCTGTAATCCCAGCCACTCAGGAGGCTGAGGCAGGAGAATTGCCTGAACCCAGGAGGCGGAGGTTGCGGTGAGCCGAGATCGCGCCATTGCACTCCAGCCTGGGTAACAAGAGGGAAAGTCTGTCTCAAAAAAAAAAAAAAAAATCTATTAAATTAATTTTATATATGGCTTCTCTGTGGAACAGCAAAGATAGAACATTTTCATTTTTTTTCTTTTCTTTTTTTTTTTTTTTTTTGAGATAGAATCTCGCTCTGTTTCCCAGGCTGGAGTGCAGGGGCGCAATCTTGGCTCACCGCAACCTCTGCTTCCCAGGTTCAACTGATTCTCATGTGTCAGCCTCCAGAGTAGCTGGGATTACAGGCACCTGGTGCCACGCCCAGCTAATTTTTTTTTTTTTTTTTTTTTTTAGTAGAGATGGGGTTTCACCATGTTGGCCAGGCTGGTCTCGAACTCCTGACCTTAAGTGATTCACCCGCCTTAGTCTCCCGAAGTGCTGGGACTACAGGCGTGAGCCACGGCGCCCGGCCCAGATAGAACATTTTCTCACGGCAGAACCCTGCAGCTCTCAAAGCTGAACACGCTGCCACCACCCACCACATCAGGGATGGAGCTTAAAATGTTAACGTGGAGAGAGGCCAGATGCCAAAGAGAACACAGAGAATGAACCCACAACGATGTTCAAAATGGACAAATCCAAGCAGGTTTAGGAAGGCCGTCGTGGGAGGCAGAATTATACAGACAAACAAAGAAATGATTGTCATGAAGGTGGAGAAAGGGGGACGGGAGGGTGTTGTGATGGCAGGGAGTGGAGGGGGCCCCTGGAGTCTGGTATTTGCTGTTCCTTAGCTTAGGAGGAGGGTCCATGGTGCTGATTTATCACAGTGGTTTTCTCTTGGGGGCAGTTTTACCACCAGGAGACATCTGTGTTTGTCACAACCGGGGGGTACCCCTGGCGTCGAGTGAGTGGAGGTCAGGGACACTGCTCAGCCCCCTGCAGTGCAGGGGACAACATCGCCCCAGAGAACCATCCATCCGCAAATGTCTTCAGTGCCCAGAAGGAGAGACTGATTTGTAATTATTTGTTTTTTTTTTTTTTTCTTAAATAAAGATGGGGTTTCACCATGATGGTCAGGCTGATTTTGAACTCCTGACCTCAGGTGATCCACCCACCTTGGCCTCCCAAAGTGTTAGGATTACTGGCGTGAGCCACAGTGCCTGGCCTCTTTTATTTTTTTTTTTATTTTTTTTTTTTTTTTTTTTGAGACGGAGTTTCGCTCTTGTTACCCAGGCTGGAGTGCAATGGCGCGATCTCAGCTCACTGCAACCTCCGCCTCCTGGGTTCAGGCAATTCTCCTGCCTCAGCCTCCTGAGTAGCTGGGATTACAGGCACGTGCCGCCATGCCCAGCTAAGTTTTTGTATTTTTAGTAGAAACGGGGTTTCACCTCGTTGACCAGGATGGTCTCGACCTCTTGACCTCGTGATCCACCCGCCTCGGCCTCCCAAAGTGCTGGGATTACAGGCTTGAGTCACCGTGCCTGGCTCTTTTTTTTTTTTTTTTTTTTTGAATGGAGTCTTGCTGTGTCACCCAGGCCGGAGTGCAGTGGTGCAGTCTTGGCTCACCGCAACCTCCACCTCCTGGGTTCAGGCAGTTCTCCTGCCTCAGCCTCCCGAATAGCTGGGACTACAGGCACGCACCACCACACTGGGCTCATTTTTGTATTTTTAGTAGCGATGGGGTTTCACCATGTTGGCCAGGCTAGTCTCGAGCTCCTGACCTCGTGATCCGCCCGTCCTGGGCTTCCGAAGTGCTGGGATTACAGGCTGAGCCACCACGCCCAGCCTCATTTATAATTATTATAACTGCACTTAGGTTTCATTTCATTTCTCTGTGTGCTTGTTTATTTCAAAATTCTGAAAGGAAAGAGAGAGAACGGGGTGGGGGGGGCGGGGAAAATAAAAGTTCAAAAGGAAAGGGAGAGAGTGAGGGAGGAAAAATAGGAAAGAGAAAAGTGACTCAAACCTGTAATCCCAGCAGTTTGGAGGCCGGGTGGGCAAATCACGAGATCAGGAGTTCGAGGCCAGCCTGGCCTCGTGGTGAACTCTTCGTCTAATAAAAAAGACAAAAATTTAACCGGGCGTGGTGGCATGCGCCTGTAGTCCCAGCTACTCGGGAGACTGAGGCAGGAGGATTGCTTGAACCTGGGAGGTGGAGGCTGTAGTGAGCTGAGATTACGCCACTGCACTCCAGCCTGGGTGATGGAGAGAGACTCCGCCTTAAAAAAAGAAAGAAGAAAAATGGGAAGTGCTGGGGCAAAGATGAGAGGGTGGTGGGGAGAGGTCAGGGCTCCGAAGGGCGCAGCTAGGGTGACCAGGGGCTCAGTGTGCCCTCTTCCTGGTCCCCCCCGACCCCGTCCCCAGCATCAGCAGCAGGTACTCCAGGCTGTAGAGCGTGCCAAGCAGGTCACCGTGGGGGAGCTGAACAGCCTCATCGGGGTGAGTCTCTGCAGCCTCTGCCCTGCCATGGGGAGATACCCACCCCCAGGTCCCTGGCACCCCCCCAGGAGGTGTTAAAGCTGAGGGTGGTGGGTGGGCCTGGGCTCCGGCCATCGTGGGATCCCCAGGGGCACACACTGTACTTAGTTCCCGTCCCAGTGTCCACCTCTTGGGCAAGGGACCACAGGGTCCCCGCCTCCCCCCGCCCCCCGCCCCAGCCCATTCTCTCTCCTTTCCAGCAGCAGCAGCTCCAGCCGCTGTCCCACCACGCCCCTCCCGTGCCCCTCACCCCCCGCCCAGCCGGGCTGGTGGGCAGCAGTGCCACGGGGTTGCTCGCCCTGTCCGGAGCCCTGGCTGCCCAGGCTCAGCTGGCTGCGGCTGTCAAGGACGATCGTGTGGGCGCGGAGGCCGAGGGGTCCAGAGGTGAGTGGGTCACGCAGCGTGTGGCCTTGGCGGGGTGGGGAGCTGGGGAGGAGGACGGGCAGGCCGGGTGCCAAACACATCAGCGTGAGGGGGTGAGGTGGCTCACGCCTGTCATCCCAGCACTGTGGGAGGCCGAGGCAGGAGGATCACTTGAGCCCAGCAGTTCATGACGAGCCTGGGCAACACAGTGAGACCCCATCTCTACAAAAAATGTAAAAATGAGCTGTGTGTGATGTTGCACACCTGTATTCCCAAATACTCGGGAGGCTGAGGTGAGAGGATTGTTTGAGCCCGGGAGGTTGAGGCTGCAGTGAGCTGTGATGGGGCCACTGTACTCCAGCCTGGGCAACAGAACAAGATCCCATCTCTTTTTTTTCCTTTTTAATTTTTTTATTATACTTTAAGTTTTGGGGTACGTGTGCCCAACGTGCAGGTTTGTTACATAGGCACACACGTATCATGGTGGTTTGCTGCATCCATCACCCCGTCATCTGCATTAGGTATTTCTCCTAATGCGCTCCCTCCCCTTGCCTCCCTCCCCCTGACAGGCCCTGGTGTGTGATGCTCCCCTCCCTGCGTCCACGTGTTCTCATTGTTCAACTCCCACTTAGGAGTGAGAACATGCGGTGTGTGGTTTTCTGTTCCTGTGTTAGTTTGCCGAGAGTGGTGGTTTCCATCTTCATCCGTGTCCCTGCAAAGGACGTGAACTCATCCTTTTTTATGGCTGCATAGTCTTCCACAGTGTCTGTGTGCCACATTTTCTTTATCCAGTCTGTCATTGATGAGCTTTGGGGTTGGTCCCAAGTCTTTGCTATTGTGAACAGTGCTGCAGTAAACATAGGCATGCATGTGTCTTTATAATAAAATGATTTGTAGTCCTTAGGGCTTGCGGGGCCACGTGGTGTTTCGAGTTTTAGATCCTTGAGAAATCACCACACTGTCTTCCGTAATGGTTGAACTGACACTCCCACCAACAGGGTAAAAGCGTTCCTGTTTCTCCACATCCTCTCCAGCGTCTGTTGTCTAGGACCCCATCTCTTAAAGTTTGAGAGGAATAATGAGAATGGCTGCAAAGCCCTGGGTTCAACTTTACCCCTGATGGGCTGTGTGTCTCGGGGAAGTCACTACCCCTCTCTGGGCCTTGATCGAAGTGCAGGGGAGGGATAATCCGACGCTTGGAAGGGTGCTGGAAGTATAGGGAGACTCCGAGCGGGGCGGGAGGAGGGGCTGTGTAAACTGGACGGCTGGACTCTGGCACCATGGACACAAATGCCTCATTCTTTCTCCCTCTCTCTCTCTTTCATTCCCCATCCGCCAGTGGAGAGAGCCCCGAGCAGGGTGAGTGAGTGGCACCCCCGACTCCCTTTGTATTCTTGGGGGACCGACACTGGTTCTGAGCTGATGGGGGCATCAGAATGAGACCTCGCCTGGGTGTGGTGGCTCACGCCTGTGATCCCAGTGCTTTGGTAGGGAGAGGTGGGAGAATCATTTGGGGCCAGAAGTTTGAGACCAGCCTGAGCAATGTGACCAAACTTCAGCTCTACAGAAAAACACTAAAATGTAGCTGGCTGTGGTGGTCCATGGCTGTGGTTTCAGCTACTCGGGAGGCTGAGGTGGGAGGATCACTTGAGCACAGAAGGCCGCAGGGAGCTGAGATCCGGCCACTGCACTCCAGCCTGGGTGACAGAGCGAGAACCCTTCTCAAAAAAAAAAAAAAAAAAAAAAAAAAATCCAGCCGGATGTGGTGTCTCACGCCTGTGATCCCAGCACTTTGGGAGGCCGAGGAGGGTGGATCACCTGAGGTCAGGAGTTCAAGACCAGCCTGACCAACATGGAGAAACCTCCGTCTCTACTAAAAAATACAAAAAAAATTAGCCAGACGGGGTGGCAGGTGCCTGTAATCCCAGCTACTCGGGAGGCTGAGGCAGGAGAATCACTTGAACCCGGGAGGCGGAGGTTACAGTGAGCTGAGATTGCGACACCGCATTCCAGCCTGGGTGACAGAGCGAGACTCCGTCTCAGAGAAAACAAAACCTTAGCACTGAGTCAGCCCTTGGAAGCTCCCATTTCCCAGATGGGAAGCTTGAGGTGCAGACCCTAATAACAGTGGGGAACCCTCAGTCGTGGCTGGTTCATAGTGCAATCTAGGAGCGCAGGGCCCTGACCCTTTCTCCCCGTGGCCCCCTGTCTCTTCGCAGAGTGCGTCTCCCTCGCCCCCCGAGAGTCTGGTGGAGGAGGAGCGACCCAGTGCCCCCGGTGGTGGTGGGAAGCAGAGAGCCGATGAGAAGGAGCTGTCAGGACCTTATGTGAGTAGGAGCAGGTTCAGGACTGGGGTGGGCACGCATGACCCAGGCCAGCTGGAGCCCTTGGAACCTTCCAGAGCCCAGCTCTGCCATGATTCTCTCACTCTAGAGCCTTCCATAGCTCCCTACTACTCAGAGTACTGGCCAATCAGAAGCGATCCTATAGTGCAACGCTTTACTCCAGTTTCTTGACGTCTCCGCAGCTTCTGGCCCGTACAGCGGTTTTCCCGCCCTGTTTTTTCTAGTCCAGTGTTTTCTCTCCCTAGAACACCCTTGTTTCAGAAACCAGTTTTTCCATCAAGACACAAAGTGCTCCCTCCTACGGGAAGCCTTCTCTGACCACCTCCTAGAGGCTGGGACCTCTTCTCTTTGCCAGACAGCTGCACATCTGTCGTTTCGAAGTCTAGTGTCCCCAGGGCCAGGCCAAATCTGGGGAATGGGGCTGTGGCCAGCTGGGGAGCATTTGTCCCACCTACGGGAGCAGGTGCAGTCTGGTCTCAGGAGGCTGGCGGGCTCAGTGCGGGCCCATAGTGCTGTTTCTCAGAGAAGCCTTTCTTTTTGGCGGTGAACTGATTGATTGATTGATTGACTGAGGCAGAGTCTTGTTCTGTTGCCTCGTCTGGAGTGCAATGGCATGATCTCGGCTCACCGCAGCCTCCGCCTCCTGGGTTCAAGCAATTCTCCTGCCTCAGCCTCCCGAGTAGCTGGGATTACAGGCACGCACCACCATGCCCAGCTAATTTTTGTATTTTTAGTAGAGACGGGGTTTCACCATGTTGACCAGGATGGTCTCGATCTCTTGACCTCGTGATCTGCCTGCCTCAGCCTCCCAAAGTGATGGGATTACAGGCGTGAGCCACCGCGCCTGGCCTAATTTTTGTATTTTTAGTGGAGATGAGGTTTCACTGTGTTGGCCAGGCTGGTCTCAAACTCCTGACCTCAGGTGATCCACCCACCTTGGCCTCCCAGTGTGCTGGGATCACAGGCGTGAGCCACTGCGCCTGGATGCAACTAATTTTCATTTAAAGAAGAAAACCGGGTATGGGAAGGGAGTCTAGAAGAACCCACCCACTGGGCGGATTTTGTCTTCCAAGCTACAGCCTTTTTTTCTTCCTTTGGTTTCCAGCCCAACATGTCAGCGGCACCCTGTCCTACCCCACCCCCTGCCGTGGTACCCAGGATAGTGTTTTCTACATCGGTGAATGGAACTGGGGCTTGGTCTTTCTTCCAAGGCAATGGGGAGCCATAGAGGGTTGCAGAGCAGCTGGGCGCGGTGGCTCATGCCTGTAATCCCAGCACTTTGGGAGGCCGAGGCGGGTGGGTCATGAGGTCAAGAGATCGAGACCGTCTTGGTCAACATGGTGAAACCCCGTATCTACTAAAAATACAAAAAATCAGCTGGGCATGGTGGCGCATGCCTGTAATCCCAGCTACTTAGGAGGCTGAGGCAGGAGAATTGCCTGAGCCCAGGAGGCGGAGGTTGTGGTGAGCCGAGATCGCGCCATTGCACTCCAGCCTGGGTAACAAGAGCGAAACTCCGTCTCAAAAAAAAAAAAAAAGGTTGCAGAGCAGAGGCAGGGATAGGTCTCAGGAAAATCTGTCTGGGGTCAGCTTGGAAGGTTGCCTGGAGGGGGAAGGCTGGAGGCCAGGAGCCCATGGAAGGGACTGGGAGGAGATGAGGTCTCTCTTAGGGCTGTGAGGGAGTGGTTGGAGGTCAGCAGAGAGATCAGTGAGACCCACATGCTGAGAAGCTTTGTGGGTCGAGATTGAGGAAGGAGATAAGGATGATTCTGGTCTCTGGCTCTCCCCCCATTATACAGCGGGGTAAACTGAGGCCTGAGACGGCTGGGAGTCACACAGGGCACTCGTGCAGTCTCTATCCTTCAAAGTCCTTCCCCACGACGTGTCCACCTGCTCCCTACACCCACGTCCTTCCCAGATCCCGGATCTGGGCACATGTGGCCTTCCCTCCTGCTCTGAGCAAACGGCACAGTGGCCTGAGAATCCCAGTGGTGCCCTGGGCTACCTCCCCCAGCTCCTGGGGAGCAGATAGGGGTCTCGGGGGCAGGGGCCTGACCGCAATCATTTGGGGCCAGGAGTTTGAGACCAGCCTGAGCAACATGGCAAAACCTCGTCTCTACAGGAAAATACAAAAATGTAGCTGGGTGTGGTGGTCCATGGCTGTGGTTTCAGCGACTCGGGAGGCTGAGGTGGGAGGATCACTTGAGCACAGAAGGCCGCAGGGAGCTGAGATCTTGACACCGCACTCCAGTACGGGTGACAGAGTGAGACCCTGTCTCAAAGAAAAAAAAAAAAACAAAAAACAAGTCTAGCCAGGTGCAGTGGCTCACGCTTGTCATCCCAGCACTTTGGGAGGCCCTGGTGGGCGGATCACCTGAGGTCAGGAGTTCAAGACCGGCCTGACCAACATGGAGAAACCTCATCTCTCCTAAAAATACAAAATTAGCTGGGCCTGGTGGCGGGCACCTGTAATCCCAGCTACTGGGGAGGCTGAGGCAGGAGAATCGCTTGAACCCGGGAGGCGGAGGTTGCGGTGAGCCGAGATCGCGCCGCTGCACCCCGGCCGGGGCGACAGGCTGGTCACCCACAAGGATCTCTGTTCCCCCATCTCCCCCGCCAGGAGAGTGATGAGGACAAGAGTGATTACAACCTGGTGGTGGATGAGGTGAGTGCCAACGGTCCGGCCTCTCCCCACATGCTGGGCACGGAGGAAGCATGGGTTATCTGGAACGGGAGGACGCAGAGGTAGTGAGGATCCTGGTTCCCCTCTCCGTGGGGTGGCTGGGATGGGGACGGCGTGGGGCCAGGAAGAGCCGGGGACTCTGGGACACCTCTGGCCAGCCTCCTCTCCATTGCACAGGGTGTGGCTTCAAGCCCTGGCTCACTGAGTGGTTTGGGGGGAGTGACACCCCCTTCCCTGGCCTCACTTTTCTCATCCGTTCAATGAGGAAATAAAACCAGGCTGAACGTGGTGGCTCACACCTGTAATCCCAGTATTTGGGGAGGCTGAGGCAGGCGGATCACCTGAGGTCAGATATTTGAGACCAGCCTGTCCAACGTGGAGAAACCCCGCCTCTCCAAGAAATACAAAATTAGCCTGGTGTGGTGGCGGATGCCTGTAATTCCAGCTGCTCGGGAGGCTGAGGCAGGAGAATCACTTTAACTGGGGAGGCGGAGGTCACGGTGAGCTGGGATCGTGTCACTGCCCTCCAGCCTGGGCAAGCAGAGCAGAAGTCCGCGTCTCAAAAAGAAATAAAAGAAAACCAAGTTCTTATATAGCCCTTGCTATGGGTGCTTATGGAGTAAGACACATCATTAAACCCATTTTACAGGCCAGGTGTGGTGACTCACACCTGTAATCCCAGTACTTTGGGAGGCTGAGGCAGATGGATCACTTCAGATCAGGAGTCTGAAACCAGCCTGACCAACATGGTGAAACCCTGTCTCTACTAAAAATACAAAAAATGAGCTGGGTGTGCTCGCTTGAACCCAAGAGGCGGAGGTTGCAGTGAGCCACTGTACTCCAGCCTGGGTGACACAGCAAGACTTAAAAAAAAATGCATTTTACAGATGAGTAAACTGAGGCAACAGAGGGTTTCATAATCTTTCCATAGTAGGTCATGAGTACCCAGTCTGGAAGGTGGAGTGGGGGAGTTGGGAGGAGGATAGAGAGGGGACTCTTCTTCCCCTCTCATTTCAACTCCACTCAATGTCACCTCCTCGAACCCAGGACCAACCCTCAGAGCCCCCCAGCCCGGCTACCACCCCCTGTGGAAAGGCACCCATCTGTGTTCCTGCCCATCGGGACCTGGTGGATAGTCCAGCCTCCTTGGCCTCAAGTCTCGGCTCACCGCTCCCCAGAGCCAAGGAGCTCATCCTGGTAAGGCAGAGGGGAGGGCCTTGAAACTCACTTTATTCATCCTGAGGGCCTTGAAACAGACACTATCTCATGACACAGAGAGCAATGATGAGAAATCAGCTGGGCTGGGGTTGTCTACCCTCTCCTTGTGTGTGTGTGTGTTTTTTTTTTTAAACCTGCTTGGACTGACTTTCTTGAACCTGGTAAGTATTAAAAGGCAACTTTGTAAAGAAGCTTTGTAGGTATCTTTTAAAAGGCAGTTCACCACCTTACATGGAAAGCAGGTCTCTCTCTGGCAATTGATAGGGAATCCTATGGAAATAAACACAGTGAAAGCCCAGCCATAGAATGGGCAGCTAGCTAGGCTGGACCCAGGCCTGTGTGTGCTTCGGCCTTCTAGAGGTGCTTAGAGACGCCCCGGCCCCAAGCCGAGATGCTGTCCCTGGAAGGAAAGATAATTAATATAGAAACAACTCTCCAGTCGGATCTCCTGGAGTTTAATGCCAGGCACGTGAGCCATCTAAAAGCACCCCGAGGGCATTCGAAATTCAGCTCCTTTTGCAGCTACCCTAACCCCAAATCTTCGCCAGATCCCCCTCCCCCGCTCTTACCAGGGGAGAGTATGTCGGTTTCCAGGCCTCCCCTCCCGGTTTCGAGGCCTCCCCGCCTGGCAGGTTACCATGGCAACCACTGGAAGCTGGGGCTCCCATTCCATCTTAAGTGCCCTCCTCCCACTGCGGGGAAAACCTCACAAGGGGATGGGGCAGCTCCGTTGTATTGGAGAAGCCACAGTTGTCCCCTCCAGTCTTTTGCGGGTGCCGGAGCTGTGCGACTGTCACGGTTTGTGCGATGGTGTCGTGGGAAGCAGAGACACAAGGATGGGAAGTTTCTTGGAAGGCAGGGGAGGTGATGACATGAGGCGAGATAACAGAGCCTGCTGTAGACACGGGTCCAGCTGCTGCTTTCATCAGAGCTTCCCTTGGGGAGGGACAGCTCTGGGTGACACCTCCCTCTGGGTGACACCTCCCTCTTGGCGGGGAATAAGGAGGACTGTGCTGCGTACTGGGAGCTCTTCCTTCACCTGGGAATGTGCCGCTGTGGGGTCTGCCTCTGTGGGAGCCCCTCCCGGAGTTTCTAATTCCCTTCAAGAATCTCAACAGGGGCTGGGGGCGGTGGTTCATGCCTGTTACCCCAGCGCTTTGAGAGGCCAAGGCAGGAGCGAGATTTGTGAGACCAGCCTGGGCAACATAGCGAGACCTTGTCTCTATGAAGAATTTAAAAAGTTGGCTGGGCGCCTGTAGTGCCAGCTACTTGGGAGGCTGAGTCAGGAGGATCGCTTGAGCGAGGGAGGTCGAGGCTGCAGTGAGCTGTGATCATGACAGCAAGACTTTTGAGAGCAAGACTCTGTCTTAAAAAAAAATCTCGGAGCCGGGCGCGGTGGCTCAAGCCTGTAATCCCAGCACTTTGGGAGGCCGAGGCGGGTGGATCACGAGGTCAAGAGATCGAGACCATCCTGGTCAACATGGTGAAACCCCGTCTCTACTAAAAATACAAAAAAATTAGCTGGGCATGGCGGTGCGTGCCTGTAATCCCAGCTACTCAGGAGGCTGAGGCAGGAGAATTGCCTGAACCCAGGAGGCGGAGGTTGCGGTGAGCCGAGATCGCGCCATTGCACTCCAGCCTGGGTAACAAGAGCGAAACTCCGTCTCAAAAAAAAAAAAAAAATTAAAAAAAAATCTCGGCTGAGCGCGGTGGCTCACACCTGTAATCCCAGCACTTTGGGAGGCCGAGGCAGGTGGGTCACGAGGTCAAGAGATCGAGACCATCCTGGTCAACATGGTGAAACCCCGTCTCTACTAAAAATACAAAAAATTAGCTGGGCGTGGTGGCGCGTGCCTGTAATCCCAGCTACTCAGGAGGCTGAGGCAGGAGAATTGCCTGAACCCAGGAGGCGGAGGTTGCGGTGAGCCGAGGTTGCGCCATTGCACTCCAGCCTGGGTAACGAGCGAAACTCTGTCTCAAAAAAAAAAAAAAATCTCGGCCAGCCATGGTGGCTCACGCCTGTAATCCCAGCACTGTGGGAGGCTGAGGCGGGCGGATTACGAGGTCAGGAGATGGTGACCATGGTGAAACCCCGTCTCTACTAAAAAATATAAAAATTAGCTGGGTGTGGTGGTGCGTGCCTGTGGTCCCAGCTACCTGGGAGGCTGAGGCAGGAGAATTGCTCCAACCCTGAAGGCGGTAGTTGCAGTGAGCCAAGATCATGCCACTGCATTCCAGCCTGGCACCTGGCAACAGAGCAGACTCCGCCTCAAAAAAAAAAAAAAAAAACCCTCAAATCTTGACGACCTATAACTGTAACTTTGCTGTTTTCTTTCTTTTTGAGACAGAGTCTCGCTCTTGCCAGGCTGGAGTGCAATGGCGCGATCTTGGCTCACTGCAACCTCCGCCTCCCGGGTTCAGGCAATTCTGCCTGTCTCCGGAGTAGCTGGGATTACAGGCACATGCTACCGTGCCTGGCTAATTTTTTGTATTTTAGTAGAGATGGTTTCACCATGTTGGCCGGGATGGTCTAGATCTCCTGACCTCATGATCTGCCCGCCTTGGCCTCCCAAAGTGCTGGGATTATAAACGTGAGCCACCGCGCCCGGCCCTCTTTATTTTTTTGAGGCAGAGTCTCGCTGTTGTTGAGGCTGGAGTGCGATGGCGCGATCTCAGCTCACCACAACCTCTGCCTCCTGGGTTCCAGCGATTCTCCTCTCTCAGCCCAGCTGGGATTACAGGCACGCACCACCACGCTCAGCTAATTTTGTAATCTTAGTAGAGACGGGTTTTCACCATGTTGGCCAGGCTGGTCTCAAACTCCCGACCACAGGGGATCTGCCCACCTCGACCTCCCAAAGTGCTGGGATGACAGGTGTGAGCCACCGCGCCCGGCCTTTGATGCCTTCTTGGAGGCGCCACTGCTGTGATCCCTGCCCCCTGCATGACGTGCCCTGGTTGGGGCTCCACCAAGCAGCGTACCCTCCTATCCACCCCACCCCATTCCTCACGTGTATTCACACTGCATACCTTATATGCACGTACATTCTTTTTTAAATTTAATTTTTGTTTTAAAGACAGGGTTTCACCGTGTTGGTCAGACTGGTCTTGAACTCCCGACCTCAGGTGATTCGCTCGCCTTGGCCTCCAAAGTGCTTAGATTACAGGCGTGAGCTACCACACCCGTCCATGCATGCACATTCTTTTTTTTTTTGAGACAGAATTTGGCTCTTGTTACCCAGGCTGGAGTGCAATGGCGCCATCTCGGCTCACTGCAACCTCCGCCTCCTGGGTTCAAGCAATTCTGCCTCAGTCTCCCGAGTAGCTGGGACTACAGGCACGCACCACCATGCCCAGCTAATTTTTCTATTTTTAGTAGAGACGGGGTTTCACCATGTTGACCAGGATGGTCTCGATCTCTTGACCTCGTGATCCACCCGTCTCGGCCTCCCAAAGTGCTGGGATTACAGGCATGAGCCACCGCGCCCGTCCGTGCATGCACATTCTTATGGTGGAGGTGTGAGTTGGCTCACTGCAGCATGCACCCGTGTGTACCCCGTGGGGCAGACGCTGCTTGCTCGTCCTGCTCAGGTACACAGACAGCCTTCCGGTGCGTGTGGACACACCTCCCCCTGGTTCCGTCAGTAGGCATTGGGATCCTCACTGGGGCTCGTTTCCCAGGTGTGAGAGTACCTGCAGGGCTCTCCGTGAGCGCTGGGCTGACCTAGTATATCTGCTCCCTTCCCATATACAGTTTTTTGGGGTTTTTTTTTGGAGAGGAAGTCTCCGTCTGTCGCCAGGCTGGAGTGCCGTGGCACAATCTCCGCTCCTGCAACCTCAGCCTCCCAGGTTCAAGTGATTCTCCTGCCTCAGCCTTCCGAGTAGCTGGGTTACAGGCACCTGCCACCACGCCCGGCCAGTTTTTATATTTTTAGTAGAGAAGCGGTTTCGCCATGTTGGCCAGGCTGGTCTCGAACTCCTGGCTTCAGGTGATCTAGCCGCCTTGGCCTCCCAAAGTGCTGGGGTGACAGGCGTGAGCCCCGCAACTTGCCCCTCCAGTTTCTGATCAATTGTTGGGCCGCAAGTCACCAGGTGCCTGGTGCTGTTCAGTCCTGCCCTTTCTCTGCAGAATGACCTTCCTGCCAGCACTCCTGCCTCCAAGTCCTGTGACTCCTCCCCACCCCAGGACGCGTCCACCCCGGGGCCCAGCTCGGCCAGTCACCTCTGCCAGCTCGCCGCCAAGCCAGCGCCTTCCACAGACAGCATCGGTGAGCGCCTTGCCTGTGGGTGCCTGTCCGGGGCAGGCCTCGTCTCTGGGGACAGCTAGTAAGAGGGGCTGGCGGGGCAGGAGGCTGGGATTCCGGGGTAGGCACTCATGGCCTTGGTCCCTTTGTGATTTCAGGTTAGACGCTGCCTCCCTCTGGGTGGTTCCTCATTGTCTCAGCTTGATGGGTAGGGAAACTGAGGCCTGGAGAGTGGAAGTGACTTGCCTGGGGGTTTCAGCCTTGTGCACTGAAAAGACAGGCTTCAGGGTCAGACAGGCCTGGGTTTCAGAACAGGCCTGGGCATTCACCAGCTGGGCGACCTTAGGCAAGTGAGCCAGCCTCTCTGAGCCTCAGTTTCCCCATCAGTAACCTGGGGAATGACAGTGCTCGTCGTTTCTGCCTTATGACCAGGCCCTGTGCTGGTTCTGGAGTCCCTAAAAGAAATTGGCCTTGAATGCCACCCCCAAGGAGCTCCCGGGTGGCAAGGGATGAGACCCGGACCCCAGCACTTGAAGCCCTGTATAATACAATCAGGGCTGGTATAGAAGGGGGAACCCAAGATGGACACGGCTGGAGGTTGGCAGTGGGGAGGCTCAAGAATATTTCCGAGAGGTGAATGGACATTGGGCCTGGGTTTTGAAGGACTGGTAGGAGTTTGTCAATTAAAAGAAAGAGAAAGCCGTGTCCACTGGAGGAACAGTATGTGCAGAGGTCTGGAGGTGTCCCAGGCTGTGGCCCGTGTGGGACCAGAGCTTGGAAACTGCATGAAAGGCCAGGGAGCTCCCAAGGCAGTGGGAGGCGGGATGTGAGTCTGGGGTGTCTGAAGATGTGTCCCCAACTCTTCCCTCTCAGCCCTGAGGAGCCCCCTGACTCTGTCCAGTCCCTTCACCACGTCGTTCAGCCTAGGCTCCCACAGCACCCTCAATGGAGACCTCTCCGTGCCCAGCTCCTACGTCAGCCTCCACCTGTCCCCACAGGTCAGCAGCTCTGTGGTATACGGACGCTCCCCCATGGTGAGTCCTTGGGTTGGGGGTACAGGAGGTGTCAGCAGGGGCTGGGGGCTGGGAGGAGAAACCAACTATACAAGGACAGACAAGGGAGTGCAGAAAGGGAAGGGAGGCCTGGCTCAGCAAGCGTGCATGGGAAGATGATCTGGGGGTCTCAGTAGTCCCACAAGCTGAATACAAAGCAGGACTTGTGACTGGAAAAAAGCAACGGTGATTAAGCTGCATGGAAAGGAGGAGCAGTGCCTTGGCTTTGGGATGCTATATACAGAAACAGGTATCGGACCAGATGTGTCCCGGGGCGGGGGAAACATCTAGAGCCAGTCTGGGCATTTGATGGAGAACTCTTCAGGATCCTTGGAACGCTGGAGTGCTGGGATTTCCTGGACAGAGAGATGTTGGGGTCGATGCCCTCAGAAACCTCAACCCTCCCACCTGGAGTGTGACAGGCAGAGGCGAAGGCAGTTTTGCTTCCTTAATAGGGAAGCATGGGATAAACGGGGGCATGGAACAGCTCAGAGGTGGCTGGAGTCAGAGTCATCTGCCTCACTGACACCCCCTCTGGCATTCTGACAGATGGCATTTGAGTCTCACCCGCATCTCCGAGGGTCATCCGTCTCTTCCTCGCTACCCAGCATTCCCGGGGGAAAGCCGTGAGTACCAGGGTGGGGCTCCCTGCCTGGGAACCCGGGCCAGCCCCCCACCTCCTCTGAGGTTTTACCCTGTGTAGTTGGGGTCTCCCTGCTCCCCTTCTAGAAAGTCTCTTTTGTGGGCCGGGCGTCGTGGCTCAATCCCAACAGTTTAGGAGGCCAAGGTGGGCAGATCATTTGAGGTCAGGAGTTCAAGAGCAGTCTGATTAACATGGTGAAACCCTGACTCTACTAAAAATACAAAAAAATTAACCATGTGTGGTGGACCATGCCTGTAATCCCAGCTACTTTGGAGGCTGTGGCAGGAGAATCACTTGAACCTGGGAAGTAGAGGTTGCAGTGAGCCCAGATAGTGCCACTGCACTCCAGCGTGTGTGACAGAGACTCCATCTCAAACAAAAATGCATCAGGCCGGACATGGTGGCTCATGCTTGTAATCCTAGCACTTTGGGAGGCCGAGGTGGGCGGATCACTTGAGGTCAGGGGTTCAAAACCAGCCTGGCCAAAATGGTGAAACCTCGTCTCTACTAAAAATACATAAAACTTAGCCAGGCACAGTGGTGCAAGCCTGTAATCCCAGCTACTCAGGAGGCTGAGGCAGGAGAATAGCTGGAACCCAGGAGGCAGAGGTTGCAGTGAGCCGAGATTGTGCCACTGCACTCCAGCCTGGGCGATAGAGCGAAACTCCATCTCAAAAAAACAAAAACAAGGCCGGGTGCGGTGGCTCATGCCTATAATGCCAGCACTTTGGGAGGCTGAGGCGGGTGGATCACGAGGTCAACAAGGTGAAACCCTGTCTCTACTAAAAATACAAAAATTAGCTGGGCATGGTGGTGCGCGCCTGTAGTCCCAGCTACTCGGGAGGCTGAGGCAGGAGAATTGCTTGAACCCAGGAGGCGGAGGCTGCCGTGAGCCGAGATCGCGCCATTGCACTCCAGTCTGGGTAACAACAGTGAAACTCCATCTAAAAAAAAAAAAGAAGTAAAAATAATACGTCATCGGGTGCCAGGCAGGGCAAAGGCGTCTCCCTGCCCTCCCAGGTGGGGGTGCGGAGGGGTGGTCCCAGGGCTGGGTCATGCCCTGGCTTTCTCTCCAGGGCCTACTCCTTCCACGTGTCTGCAGACGGGCAGATGCAGCCGGTGCCTTTCCCCTCGGATGCACTGGTGGGCGCGGGCATCCCACGGCACGCCCGGCAGCTGCACACGCTGGCACACGGCGAGGTGGTCTGTGCGGTCACCATCAGCGGCTCCACGCAGCACGTGTACACGGGTGGCAAGGGCTGTGTGAAGGTGTGGGACGTGGGCCAGCCTGGGGCCAAGACACCTGTGGCCCAGCTCGACTGCCTGGTGAGGGCAGGGTGGGAAAGTGGGCGGGACTCATGGGTGAGGGGGTGGAGCTTATATTCAAATGGAGCGGTGTTTGCAGGCCGGCAGTGGGTGGGGTTACAGGTGAAGGGTGGAGCTTGTAGTCACAGGGGGCCAGGCCAAAGTGGTGGGGCTCATTGGCCAGTCAGGATAGGGTTTGCAGGCCAACTATGGGTGGGGCTTACAGGTGAAGGGCGGAGCTTATGGTCAGATGGGGCGGGGCTTGCAGGCCAAAGTGGTGGTACTCATTGGCCAATCAGGGTTGGGCTTGCAAGACCACCAGGATAGGGTTTGCAGGCCAACCATGGGTGGGTCTTACAGGTGAAGGGTGGGGCTTATGGTCGGATGGAGCTGGGCTTGCGGGCCAAAGTGGTGGGGCTCATTGGCCAATTAGGATAGGGTTTGCCAACCATGGGTGGGGCTTATAGGTGAAGGGCGGAGCTTATAGTCGGATGGGGCGGGGCTTGCAGGCCAACCCGGACAGGGTTTTTCAGGCCAACCATGGGTGGGGTTTACAGGTGGAGGGTGGAGCTTGTCAAATGGGGTGGGGTTTGCAAGCCTACCATGGGCAGGGATTGTAGGCGAAGAACAGAGCTCACAGTGTAATCGAAGTGTGTGTGGGCCAAAGGGGCAGGGCTTGCTGGCCCATCAGGGTAGGGATGGCAGGCTCCAGAGACCACCACATTGAGCCAGGCTCCTAGAGACCTCACCTGGGACCAACCCCCAGCCTGATTCTCTCCCTGACCCCAGAACCGAGACAACTACATTCGCTCCTGCAAGTTGCTGCCGGATGGCCGGAGTCTGATCGTGGGCGGGGAAGCCAGCACCTTGTCCATTTGGGACCTGGCAGCGCCCACCCCCCGTATCAAGGCCGAGCTGACCTCCTCGGCCCCAGCCTGCTACGCCCTAGCCGTCAGCCCCGACGCCAAGGTTTGCTTCTCCTGCTGCAGCGATGGCAACATTGTGGTCTGGGACCTGCAGAACCAGACGATGGTCAGGTGCGCTGGGACCTCGGGCAAGCCCCGGCTTGCTCTCCGTGCAGTGGGGTGGAGGACTGACCTGGGAGGTTGCTGGGGCAGCTCGAATTCCAGGGTGGACGCCTGGGCTCTTCTTCCTCCAGGCAGTTCCAGGGCCACACGGATGGCGCCAGCTGTATTGACATTTCTGATTATGGCACTCGGCTCTGGACAGGGGGCCTGGACAACACGGTGCGCTGCTGGGACCTGCGGGAGGGCCGCCAGCTGCAGCAGCATGACTTCAGCTCCCAGGTGCTGTTCGGTGCTGGTGGGAGGGGGATGGAAGCTCCAGGAATCCGAGTCCCTTCCTCTCCTTGCTGGGGGCCACTTCCAGAGGCAGGATGGGACTAACATCTGTGGCGTCCATCTTTATTGTCATCCGTACACGTCCACAGGCTTCCACTTTAATTCTCTGAAGACGTAGGGGAACCCAAAAGAGCTGATTTATATGAAGCTGTGGGGTCACTGGGACCCTCAGATCATCTTCTCCACTTGCCTTTGTTCAGCCGTACCCTTTTTTTTGAGACAGAGTCTCGCTCCGTCGCCAGGAGCCAGGCTAGAATGCAATGGTGAGAGCTCGGCTCACTGCAACCTTCACCTCCCGGGTTCAAGCAGTTTTCCTGCCTCAGCCTCCCGAGTAGCTGGGATTACAGGCGCGTGCCACCATGCCCAGCTAATTTTTGTATTTTTAGTAGAGACGGGGTTTCACCATGTTGGCCAGGATGGTCTCGATCTCTTGATCTCATCATCCGCCCGCCTCAGCCTCCAAAAGTGCTGGGATTATAGGCGTGAGCCACTACACCCGGCTTCAGCCATACTGTTATGTCTTTCCTTGTGTAGCTGGGTTCTTCTCTCAGCGTTTAATTTCTGGATCCCACTGGGAGTGCTAGACACACACTTCCCATTGAGGACTCACCATAGGGGAGTTACTGGCCAGGGGAACAGAGTGGAGGCTGATGTAGGAGGAGCTGGGCGTGGGTAGGTCACCACTGAAGGTGGAGCCTAGGCTGAAGGACATGGTGAATGGGCTGGACAGAGCTGGGGGCTCCTCAGGGCTGAGCAAAGAGAGTGAATCTTCAGGCACCGTGGCCCCAGATTCTGCCTCTCAGTGCTTTGGGGGCAGGGTACGAGCCCCTGTTCTGTCATTCAGGATTTCCATGTCCTGGTCTCACGCACACCGTACTCTGGGATTGGCACTGAGAACTCTGCACATTTGTTCCCTGTGGTTCACACTGGGAGGCCTCAAGTAATCCACCCACCCCGGCCTCCCAGTGTGAGCCACTGCTCCGACTCTCCCAAGCCCTTTATGTCCAGCCTGGTCTTCTCTTTAATTTGATGATTTCTGGGGGGGTTTTGTTGTTTTTGAGACAGGAGTCTTGCTCTGCCTCCAAGGTGGGAGTGCGGTGACACCATCTTGGCTCACTGCAACCTCCGCCTCCCTGGTTCGAGCAATTCTCCTGCCTCAGCCTCTGGAGTAGCTGGGATTACAGGCACCCGTCACCACACACAGCTAATTTTTGTATTTTTAGTAAAGATGGGGTTTCATCGTGTTGGCCAGGCTGGTCTTGAACTCCTGACTTCGTGATCCACTCACCTTTGCCTCCCAAAGTGCTGGGATTATAGGCATTAACCACTGAACCCGGCCTCATTTGATGATTTCTTTTTTGTTTTTTTTTTTGGACGGAGTTTCGCCCTTGTTACCCAGGCTGGAGTGCAATGGCGCGATCTCGACTCACCGCAACCTCCGCCTCCTGGGTTCAGGCAATTCTCCTGCCTCAGCCTCCTGAGTAGCTGGGATTATAGGCACGTGCCACCATGCCCAGCTAATTTTTTGCACTTTTAGTAGAGACGGGGTTTCACCATGTGGACCAGGATGGTCTCGATCTCTTGACCTCGTGATCCACCCGCCTCGGCCTCCCAAAGTGCTGGGATTACAGGCTTGAGCCACCGCGCCCGGCGCTGATGATTTCTTTAATAGGGAAATCAGGAGTACTGGTGGACATAGCTCTCCAGCCCATGTCCCCGCAGCTTAGGTGGGCTGAATACGTTTCTAGGGAGCCCATGGTGAATACCTCCTAGCTCACTGGGTGCCTCCCACCGCGTGTTTACACAGGACCACTTCCGGATGGCCAGGAAAGGACATTTGAAGCCCCCCAGTCTTCTATGCTGTAATGTGTGGTTATTTCCACCGGTGTGCTATATATTAGTGAAACTCCAAGAGGGATAGGGTAGAACAGGACCTGATTCCTATGTGTGCCTAAAATGGGGTGGCTACAGAAGGATGAGGACCCTGAATCCTATTAGAATCAAACCGAAAAGCAGTATTGCAAATGGGGAATGCTCCAGGCCAGGCTCAGTGGCTGACACCTGTAATCTTAGCACTATGGGAGGCTGAGGCTGGAGGGTCACTTGTGCCTAGGAGATTGAGGTCAGCTTGGGAAACAGCAGGACCTTGTTCCTACTTAAAAAACGAAAAATTAGACACAGTGGCATGCACCTGTGATTCCAGCTACTTGGGAGGCTTGAGCCTGGAGGAGGCTGAGGCGGCAGTAGGTCACGTGTGCACCAGTGCACTCCAGCTTAGGCAGCAGAGCAAGACCCTGTCTCAAAAAAAAAAAAAAAAGAAAGAAAGAAATGGGGAATATTCCAAACTCAGTGAGAAGTCCTGGCTCCAAGGCCTGGTTTTTTTTTTTTTTTGGAGACGAAGGCTTGCTCTGTCACCCAGGCTAGAGTGCAATGGCGTGATCTCAGCTCACTGCAACCTCCACCTCCCAGGTTCAAGCAATTCTCCCGCCTCAGCCTCCAGAGTAGCTGAGATTACAGGTGAATGCCACCACGCCCAGCTCATTTTTGGATTTTCAGTAAAGACAGAGTTTTGCCATGTTGGCCAGGCTGCTCACGAACTCCTGACCTCAGATGATTCGTTTGCCTGAGCCTCCCAAAGTGTTGGGATTACAGACATGAGCCACCGCGCCTGGCTGAGTCCTCCTCTTTCGTAGCGCTGCTGTGTGACCTTGAGGGGACACTGCCTCGGCTTCCACCATCTGCTTAAGGGGAATGATTGTCCTTGTGTGCTCATTCCCTCCTCCCTCCCTCCTCCCTGTGCTGTTGTGCGCTCAGAGCAGATAATGGATGTGTGGCCCTAGGGCTCTGTGTAATTCTGATTAATATTAATGATTCGACATGCACTTGTCTGCTGTGTTCTCAGTCCTGGGCCAGCTGCCTTTCTCTGTGGGGAGCTGAAGAGGGAGAAGGTTGCACTCCACCCCCCACCCCCTGCTGGTGCTGGGCACCCCCCAGTATCCAGAGGGGCTCATAAGCCAGAGATGGTGGCTCACAGCTATAATCCCAGCACTTTGGGAGGCCGAGACGGCAGATCGCTTGAGGTCAGGAGTTCCAGACCAGCCTGGCCAAGATGGCGAAAGCCCGTCTCTACTGAAAATACAAAAATTAGCTGGGCATGCATGGCAGGCACCTGTAGTCCCAGCTACTTGGGAGGCAGGAGAATCACTTGAACCTGGGAGGCGGAGGCTGCAGGGAGCCGAGATCACGACATTGTACTCCAGCCTGGGTGACACAGTGAGACTCAGTCTCAAAAAAGTATTATCCAGATGCGGTGGTGCATGCCGGTAGTCTCAGCTTCCCAGGAGGCTGAGGCAGGAGGATCACTTGAGCTGTGGAAATGGAAGCTGCAGTAAGCCACGACTGCGCCACTGCACTCCAGCCTGGGTGGCACAGAGAGACACCATCTCAACACAAAGCAAAGCGAGGGCTCGTGACCCCATGTCTTCCCTCTTTACCCGCAGATTTTCTCCCTGGGCCACTGTCCTAACCAGGACTGGCTGGCGGTCGGAATGGAGAGTAGCAACGTGGAGATTCTGCACGTCCGTAAGCCGGAGAAGTACCAGCTGCACCTGCACGAGAGCTGCGTCCTGTCCCTCAAGTTCGCCTCCTGCGGTATGTCTGCTGGGGTGGAGTGGCACACCCCCAAATCCCCAACAAAACCCAGGGTGCCAATCTGAATCTTAGATAAATAACAAATAGTTATTTATGCACTAAAATTTTATTTATATATTCAGATTTATATACTCAAAAGCAAATCATTAGTATAAGTATATCCCAAATGATATGTGGGATATACTTATACTAAAAACCAAATAATGAGATATTTGGGATATACCTGTCCTAAAAATTGATGACTTATCTGAGATTCAAATTTAAGGCCAGGCGCGGTGGCTCACGCCTGTCATCCTAACACTTTGGGAGGCCAAAGCAGGCAGATCACCTGAGTTCAGGAGTTGAAGACCAGCCTGGCAAACATGGGGAAAGCCCGTCTCTATTAAAAATTGAAAAATGGGGCTGGGTGTGGTAGCTCACGCCTGTAATCCAAGCACTTTGGGAGACTGAGGCAGGTGGATCACGAGGTCAAGAGATTGAGACCATCCTGATCGACATGGTGAAACCCTGTCTCTACTAAAAATACAAAAATTAGCTGGGCATGGTGGCGTGCACCTGTAGTCCCAGCTACTGGGGAGGCTGAGGCAGGAGAATTGCTTGAACCCAGGAGGCAGAGGTTGCAGTGAGCCGAGATCGCGCCATTGCACTCCAGCCTGGGTAACGAGCAAAACTCCATCTCAAAAAAAAAAAAAAAAAAAAAAAAAAAAAAAAACAGAAAATTGAAAAATGAGCAGGGCATGGTGGCAGTTGCCTGAAATCCCAGCTACTTGAGAGGCTGAGGCAGGAGAATCACTTGAACCTGAGAGGTGGAGGTTGCAGTGAACCGAGATCACACCACTGCACTCCAGCCAGGGTCACAAGAGGGAGACTCTGTATCTAAAAAAAAAAAAAAAAAAAAAAAGTAAGCCAGGCACAGTAGCTGCTGCAGTAGTTTCAACTACTCAGGAGGCTGAGGTGCAATGATCACCCCAGATCAGGAGTTCAAGACCAGCCTAGGCAACATACCAAGACAGCCGGGTATGGTGGGTTCCACCTGTAGTCCCAAATACTAGGGAGGCTGAGGGAGTAGTGCTTGAGCCTAGGAGATAGAGGCTCTGGGGAGCTATGATCCCACCACTGCCTGCCAGCCTGGGCAATGGAATGAAACCCTGCCTCTAAAAAATATCACTCATTAGTATTAGTACATCTTAAATAGTCCATGGGATCTCTTATACCAAAAAAATAAAATAGTTGGGCTGGGTGTGGTGGCTCACACCTGTAATCCCAGCACTTAGGGAGGCTAAGGTGGGAGGATCACTTGAGGTCAGGAGTTTGAGACCAGCCTGGGCAGCATAGTGAGACCCCAACTCCACAGAAAATGTTTTTTTGAGATGAATTCTCACTCTGTTCCCCAGGCTGGAGTGCAGTGGCACAATCCCAGCTCACTGCAATCTCTGCCTCCCGGGTTCAAGTGATTCTCCTGCTTCAGCCTCCCACGTACCCGGGGTTGTAAGTGCCTGCCATTTGGGAGGCTGAGGCGGGTGGATCATGAGGTCAAGAGATCAAGACCATCCTGGTCAACATGGTGAAACCCCGTCTCTACTAAAAATAAAAAAAAATCAGCTGGGCACGGTGGTGCGTGCCTGTAATCCCAGCTACTCGGGAGGTTGAAGCAGGAGAATGGCTTGGACCCAGGAGGTGGAGGTTGCGGTGAGCCGAGATCGCGCCATTGCACTCCAGCCTGGGTAACAAGAGAGCGAAACTCCGTCTTCAAAAAAAAAAAAAGTGTCTGCCACAATGCCCAGCTGATTTCTTTGTTTTTAGTAGAGAAGGAATTTCATCATGTTGGCCAGGCTGGTCTCAAACTCCTGACCTCAGGTGATCTGCCCATCTCGGCCTCCCAAAGTGCTGGGATCACAGCCATGAGGCAGTGTGCCCAGCAAAAAAATAGAAGTATTACCTGGGCATGGTGGTACACAGCTGTGGTCCCAGCTACGTCAGAGGCTGTTGGAGGAGGGCTTGAGCCCAGGTGGTCGAGGCTGCCGTGAGCTGTGATCGCACCACTGCACTCCAGCCTGGGGCACAGAACAAGACCCCACCAACTCTTTTTTTTTTTGAGCTGTCTCACTCTTGTTGCCCAGCGATTCTCCTGCCTCAGCCTCCTGAGTGGCTGGGATTGCAGGCACGTGCCACCATGCCCAGCTGATTTTTTGTATTTTTACTAGAGATGGGGTTTCACCGTGTTGATCAGGATGGTCTTGATCTCTTGACCCCGTGATCCACCCGCCTCGGCCTCCCAATGGCAGGCACTTATAAATCCTAGCTACCATGCCCGGCTGATGTTTGTATTTTTAGAAGAGATGGGGTTTCTCCTTGTTGGTCAGGTTGCTCTCAAACTCTTGACCTCAGGTGATCCGCTCACCTCAGCCTCCCAAAGTGCTGGGATTACCAGCATGAGCCACTGCGCCTGCCCAAGTCCCTTTCAGGTGGGGAGGTGGGGGGTAAGGAACAGGGAGAGGCCAGATCCAGCCTGCCCCGCCTCCCCCGGCAGCCCTGGCCTCTCTTCAGTGCCCCCTCTTTGAACTGCGCTGCTCTCCCTGCCCAGGACGGTGGTTTGTGAGCACAGGCAAGGACAACCTGCTGAACGCCTGGAGGACGCCGTATGGCGCCAGCATTTTCCAGGTACGCAGTGGGCTGGAGTCCCCACCCTGGCAGGGCCATGTGCTCAGGTATGCCAGGGTCAGACAAAGAAATTGCCCCTGTCCCCATCCCCTGACCCCCTTCTCAGGCTCCTGAAGCCTCCCTGCTGCCCAGGTACTAAAGCAGAGGTTCTAATTGCAGCCCGAGGGCCTCAACAACGTGTAGCCTATTTTTTTTTTTTTTTTTTTTTTTTGAGACGGAGTTTCGCTCTTGTTACCCAGGCTGGAGTGCAATGGCGCGATCTCGGCTCACCGCAACCTCCGCCTCCTGGGTTCAGGCAATTCTCCTGCCTCAGCCTCCTGAGTAGCTGGGATTACAGGCACGCGCCACCATGCCCAGCTAATGTTTTGTATTTTTAGTAGAGACGGGGTTTCACCATGTTGACCAGGATGGTCTCGATCTCTTGACCTTGTGATCCACCCGCCTCGGCCTCCCAAAGTGTTGGGATTACAGGCTTGAGCCACCGCGCCTGGCCTTTTATTTTTTTTTTTGGAGACAGTCTGGCTTTGTCACCCAGGCCCGAGTGCACTGGCCTGATCTTGGCTCACTGCCACCTCTGCCTCCTTTGTTCAAGCAATTCTCCCTGCTTCAGCCTCCAGACTAGCTGGGATTACAAGCACCCACCACCACGCCCAGCTAATTTTTTGGGTATTTTTAGTAGAGACTCACCATGTTGGCCAGGCTGGTCTTGAACTCCTGACCTCAGGTGATCCACCCGCCTCAGCCTCCCAAAGTGCTGGGATTACAGGCATGAGCCGCCACTGCACCAGCAGTGCCTGGCTATTTTTTTTTTTTTTAATACTAAGTTTTGCTCTGGGACCCAGGCTGGAGTACAGTGGCGCGATCTCTGCTCACTGCAACTTCCACCTCCTGGGTTCAAGCCATTCTCCTGCCTCAGCCTCCTGCATAACTGGGACTACAGGCACCCACCACCACACCTGGCTAATTTTTTTTTTTTTTTTTTTTTTTGAGACAGTTTCACTCTTGTTACCCAGGCTGGAGTGCAATGGCGCGATCTCGGCTCACCGCAACCTCCGCCTCCTGGGTTCAGGCAATTCTCCTGCCTCAACCTCCTGAGTAGCTGGGATTACAGGCACGCGCCACCATGCCCAGCTGATTTTTTGTATTTTTAGCAGAGACGGGGTTTCAGCATGTTGACCAGGATGGTCTCGATCTCTTGACCTCGTGATCCACCCGCCTCGGCCTCCCAAAGTGCTGGGATTACAGGCGTGAGCCACCACGCCCGGCTAATTTTTGTTTTTTGGTAGAGATGGGGTTTCACCATGTTGGCCAGGCTGGTCTTGAACTCCCAACCTCAAGCGAGGTTTAAAGGGTTCCAAGAAAAAGAATCCCAGAATATGTAACAGACTTTTGGCAAAGCCTGAAATAGTTACTCATCCAGCCCTTTGTGAAGTTTGCAGACCCCTGGTCTAGGCCAGTGCCTTGCTTCTCTGCTCTGCTGTGTGACATCACACCTCGTGCACACCCGCTCTGAGCTTCTCAGAAAGGGCAGCTCTTCAGTCCCCTCTCTTGGTATCAAGGGCATGGAGGCTCTGCTCTGCCCAAGGGACTTAGCTCCAAAGCACCTGTGTCTAGAAAAGGAATAGCGTGGTGGCACACGCCTGTCGTGTCAGCGCTTTGAGAGGCCGAGGCGGGCGGGTCACCTGAGGTCAAGAGTTTGAGACCAGCCTGACCAACAAGGCGAAACCCCGTCTCTCCTAAAAATAAAAAAATTAGCCAGGCGTGGTGGCTCATGGCTGTAATCCCAGCACTTCGGGAGGCCAAGGCGGGTGGATCACCACATCAGGAGATCAAGACCATCCTGGCCAACATGGTCCATCTCTGCTAAAACACAAAAAAAAATCAGCCCGGGAAGGTGGTGTGCCTGTAGTCCCAGGTACTCAGGAGTCTGAGGCAGGAGAATCGCCTGGACCCGGGCGGTAGAGGATGGTGTGAGCAGAGATCGTGCCACTGCACTACAGTCTGGGCAACAGAGCAAGACTCTGTCTTAAAAAAAAAAAGTAGCCAGGCGCGGTGGCTCAAGCCTGTAATCCCAGCACTTTGGGAGGCCGAGGCGGGTGGATCACAAGGTCAAGAGATCGAGACCATCTTGGTCAACATGGTGAAACCCCGTCTCTACTAAAAATACAAAAAAAAATAGCTGGGCATGGTGGTGCGTGCCTGTAATCCCAGCTACTCAGGAGGCTGAGGCAGGAGAATTGCCTGAACCCAGGAGGCGGAGGTTGCGGTGAGCCGAGATCGCGCCATTGCACTCCAGCCTGGGTAACAAGAGCGAAACTCCGTCTCAAAAAAAAAAAAAAAAAAAAAATAGTTGAATAGAAATAAATAAATTAGCCAGGTGTGATGGCACCCACCTGCAGTCACAGCTACTCAGGAGGCTGAGGCATGAGAATCCCGGAGGTTGCAGGGAGCCAGCATCCCGCTACTGCACTCCTACAACCTGGGAGAGAGATCCAAACTCCATCTCAAAAAAAAAAAAGTCACTCAGTAGCCGAGTCCTGCTCCCCCCTTCCTGACTCGGCCCCCACGTTGCCCGCACCCACGTCCTGGGGTCCGTGCCTCACCCTACCTTTTCCCTCTCCCCCTTCCCTCGGCAGTCTAAGGAATCGTCCTCCGTCTTGAGCTGTGACATCTCCAGGAATAACAAATACATCGTGACAGGCTCGGGGGACAAGAAGGCCACCGTGTACGAGGTGGTCTACTGAGACCCCCCCACGTTCCTGCAACCCGAAGTCCAGACTCCTAGGGGAAGCAGCTCCGGGACAGGCACCCAGCAGGCGTCTCCCCGCCCTGCCTGTGAGCTCTTCGTACCATCTGCTCTCTGGCCAGTGGGTTCACTCCTGCTGCATGTGGGGGCCGCTGGGCAGACGGGGCCTTGGGGGAAATAAATGTATTTATCACATTTCTCCCTTGTGTTGGGGAACTAGGGAGCATTGCTTCTCATGGCCACTGGTGCTGGGAGAAGACCAGGTCCTGGTGATGGGATCATACGTCACCAGAATTCATTCCGCAGGACAGTGAGGCGCCTGTATGCCATGTCAAAGCCCTCTCCTTCGAGACAGACACGCTGGGTTGGGCAGGGTGGCTGAGATGCTGATGTGGACAAGCAGCCCTCGTGGCTCAGGGTTTAACACATTCATTTCTGGCTCATACCCAGAGTGTCCAGGGCTCTACTCCAGCTGGTCACTCAGGCTTCCAGGAGATTTTTTTTTTTTTTTTTTTTTTGAGATGGAGTCTCACTCTATTGCCCAGGCTGAGTTATAACAGTGCCATCTCACCTCACTCAACCTCTGCCTGCTGGGTTCTAGTGATTCTCCTGCCTCAACTTCCCGAGAAGCTGGGATTTAACAATACCAACACACCCAACTAATTTTCTTATTTTTGAGCAGAGATGGGGTTTCACCCTCTTGGCCAGGCCGATCTTGAACTCCCGCCCTCAATTGATCTGCCCGCCTCAGCCTCCCAAGGAGCTGGGATTACAGGTGTGAGCCACCGTGCCTGGCCAGGAATTTTTTTTTTTTTTTGGAGATGGAGTTTCGCTCTTGTTACCCAGGCTGGAGTGCAATGGCGCGATCTCGGCTCACCGCAACCTCCGCCTCCTGGGTTCAGGCAATTCTCCTGCCTCAGCCTCCTGAGTAGCTGGGATTACAGGCACCCACCACCACACCCGGCTAGTTTCTGTATTTTTAGTGGAGATGGGGTTTCACCATGGGGGCAAGGGTGGTCTTGATCCACTGACCTCAGGTGATCCATCCTCCTTGGCCTCCTTGACAGGTGAGAGTCACCATGCCCAGTCTCAAAACTGTCTCTTAAAGTTATCCCTGGCCGGGCGTGGTGGCTCAAGCCTGTAATCCCAGCACTTTGGGAGGCCGAGGCGGGTGGATCACGAGTTCAAGAGATCGAGACCGTCCTGGTCAATATGATGAAACCCTGTCTCTACTAAAAATACAAAAAATTAGCTGGGCGTGGTGGCACATGCCTGTAATCCCAGCTACTCAGGAGGTTGAGGCAGGAGAATCGCCTGAACCCAGGAGGCGGAGGTTGCGGTGAGCCGAGATCGCGCCATTGCACTCCAGCCTGGGTAACAAGAGCGAAACTCCGTCTCAAAAAAAAAAAAAAAAAAGGTTACCCCTGGCTGGGTGTGGTGGCTCACACCTCTCATCCCAGCACTTTGTGAGGCTGAGGTGAGTGGATCACCTGAGGTCAGGAGTTTGAGACCAGCCTGGCCAACAGGGTAAAACCTGGTCTCTACTAAAAATACAAGAATTAGCTGTACATGGTGGCAGGTACCTGAAATCCCAGCTACCCAGGAGTCTGAGGCAGGAGAATGGCTTGAACCACGGAGGCGGAGGTTGTGGTGAGCCGAGATGGCGCCACTGCACTCCAGCCTGTGGGACAAGAGCGAGACTTCGACGTAAAAGAAAAACCCAAGATTCTACCTAAGTACAAGGCGTAGGGGGACCAAAGGGCAGAGCAACGCTATTCAGTGTAGCCACACCGCCTGCTGGACTCGGTTTCTACGAGCCCGGCTCATGGTGAAGGGCTGAGCAAACGTTACCGCCCGGCAGAGGGGAGGGGTAAGCTGACCACTGAAGCATGAGAAACAGCCCCTGGGAGCACCAACGGACGACTGCTTGGGAGAAGGGAATGGCAGGTTTGATGTCTCAGAGGCAAAGGGGTGCTTGGCCTGGGGGTCACCCAAAAGGCAGCGGGGTCCCGCAGAGCGAGGCCTGCAGAGGGGGCTTCAGTGGCGATCGGGGAGGGCCGGGGTAGTCAGACCTATGTTCTGAAACTCACGCGGGTTCCCACGTACAGCATGCGTTAGCACCAGTGCTGGGGCTCACGTCTGTCATCCCGGCATTTTGGGAGGCTGAGGCAGGAGGATTGCTGAAGCTCGGAGGTCGAGGCCAGCCTGCACAATATAGTGAGATCCCATCTCTCTTTTTTTTTTTTTTTTGAGATGGAGTTTCGCTCTTGTTACCCAGGCTGGAGTGCAATGGCGCGATCTCGGCTCACCGCAACCTCCGCCTCCTGGGTTCAGGCAATTCTCCTGCCTCGGCCTCCTGAGTAGCTGGGATTACAGGCACACCCCACCATGCCCAGCTAATTTTTTGTATTTTTAGTAGAGACGGGGTTTCACCATGTTGACCAGGATGGTCTCGATCTCTTGACCTTGTGATCCACCCGCCTCAGCCTCCCAAAGTGCTGGGATTACAGGCATGAGCCACCGCGCCCGGCCTAGATCCCATCTCTTTAAAAAAAAAAAAAAAAAGTTTAAAGCAGCATCCTTTGGGTGGAGCACAGATGCCGCTGGGAAAGTTCTAGAAGGAGATGGGAGGGTTCCTGCTGACAACAGAAGGCGTGCCCTGGCGGACATTTCTGGAGATAACGCAGGAAAGGAATAATTATCTGAATTAAGGAACCCGTTGACATCGGGGCCCCTTCCTAGCTTGGAAAAGAGTGGGGATGTGGCATTTCCAGAGCACTAATTAGTGTGGGAAGGCGGCTGGCCCTTGAAGCTACTGGAAACTCATGTCAACCTTAGCACTGTGGACAGCAGAACGGGACTGTTTTCTAGGGTGGGGCTGTCCTGGGCACCACAGGGTGGTGAGCAGTGTCCCTGTCCGCACCCATTCCATGCCAGGGGTACCCTGAAAGTCATGCCAACCGGAAATGCCCCCAGCCATCGCCTAGGTTCCCTTGGGGGCACAGTCACCCCCTGGGAGGCCCATTGGTTAAATAGGACGTGTCTGGGGAAGGACCACTCACATGATTCCTGGGATCACAGCTGATACGTCGCACGGGATTGGAACTGCTCACGGTGGCAGAAATGTCGATCCACTCCCCAAGTCAGGGAGTCTGTGGCCATGACTAGACTCTTAGCTTACAGGTACGAGCCACAGTGCTTGGCCTGCAAAGAATTTTTTTTTTTTTGAGACAGAGTCACACTGTGTACAGGCTGGGGTGCAGTGGCGCTGACCTTGGCTTACCGCAACCTCCACCTCCTGGGTTTGAGATTCTCCTGCCTCAGCCTCCTGAGTTATCTGGGATGACAGGCACCTACCCCCAGGCCAGGCTAATTTTTGTGTTTTTAATAAAGACAGGGCTTTACCACATTGGCCAGAATGGTCTTCATCTCCTGACCTCGTGATCCACCCACCTCAGCCTCCCTAAATGCTGGGGTTACAGGTGTGAGCCACCACACCCAGCCTGCAAAGAATGTTTCACATGAGCCCTGGGTTTGGAGCTCAGAGGACCGGGCGCTGTGGCTCTCACTTGTGATCCCAGCACTTTGGGAGGGTGTGGTGCAAGGATCCCTGAGTTTGAGACCAGCCGGGCAACACAAGAGGACCCTATCTCTACATAAAATGTTGCGATTCTGTGATTTTGAGATGTAGCCTCTGTTGCCCAGGCTGTGGTACTGAAGCGTGATCTCCGCTCACCGCAACCTCCGGCTCCTGGGTTCAAGCGATTCTCCTGCCTCAGCCTCCCGAGCACCTGGGCCTACAGGTGTGCACCACCATCCCCAGCTAATCTCTGTGTTTTTAGTACACACGGGGTTTCACGGTGTTGCCCAGGCCGGTCTCTTAACACCCCACCTCAAATGGTCTGTCTGCCTCGCCCTCCCAAAGTGCTGGGATTACAGGTGTGAGGCAGTGCGCCCAGCCTCTAAGATTAGACCAGCCGGGCATGGTGTGCACGTGTGCCATCTTGGCTCCTCAAGAGGCTGAGGCAGGAGGATGGAGAGGACTCAGGGTCCCCGTGAAGCCACTCCAGGCTACGTGACAGAGATCCTGCAAAAAAAAAAAAAAAGGCTAAGAGCCTCCAGGCGGGATGATCAAGTCCTTCCAAATTTCCATGAGATGAGCAGGGACGGGACGGAAGGCCCCTTCCCCTTCAGAGGACAGGACACGGCCACTCTGCTTTTCCTGGATGCTTTATTAGGCGTGACAGCAGTCAGTCTGCTCACCCCAGAGGGGGTTTTTCAACACGGTAGGAGAGCCTTCCCCACCTCCCTCCACCACGACCGCCAATTGGGGGAAGAAAGAGGCGGGGGCCGGCCGCGAGGGCCCTCAGTAGGTCATCTGGTACACGGAGGCGTGCTCCCTGAAGCCGGCGACAATGATGCGGTTGTTGGACGAGATGTCACAGCACAGGATCGGGGACGTCTCGGGTACCTGAAGGGGGAACCGTAGGCACCGAGCTGGGGAAGGGCTCGCACACCCCTGGTCTTTACCCGTTAGCTCAAGCATGAGGCATGGTCTCTTCCGAGAAGACAAGACGGTCTTGCTCCGTTGTTGCCCAGGCTGGAGCGTGGTGGCGCCATCTCGGCTCACTGCAGCCTCCGCCTCCCGGGTTCATGCAGTTCTCCTGCCTCAGCCTCCCGTGTAGCTGGGACTACAGGTGCACGCCGCCACCCACGCCCAGCTAATTTTTCTGTTGCCCAGGCTGGTCTTGAACTCATGAGCTCAGACAATCCACCCGTCTCGGCCTCCCAAAGTGCTGGGATTACAGGTGTGAGCCACCCTGCCTGGCCTTTTCTGAGTTTTTTAGAGATGGGGTCTCACTGTATTGGCCAGGCTGGTCTTGAAATGATAACCACAAGGGATCTTCCTGCCTCAGCCTCCCAATATGCTGGGATTATAGGTGTGAGCCACCATGACTGGGTAATTTTTTTTTTTTTTTTTTAGACAGAGTCTGGCTCTGTCACGAGGCTGGAGTGCAGTGGCACCATCTCAGCTCACTGCAACTTCCACCTCCTGGGTTCAAGCAATTCTTTTGCCTCAGCCTCCCCAGTAGCTGGGATTACAGGCACGCGCCACCATGCCCACCCCCAGCCCACCCCGTAGTACCTGGAACACGTTTGTCCCCACTGGCATGCTGTAGATGCCGAGCAAGCCGT